TGAGGGTTGGGAGATGGAGGAGCGCACACCGCAGGAAGCTGGGCTTGTGGGCCACCCAGGAGAGTTTGACCTTTATCCTATGGACAGCGGGGAATCAAAAAGGTTTGGGGTTTTGTTTTAATAGCAGAAAGGTGACATGATAAAATGTTTCCATTTAGGAAGGTGGTTTTCTGGAGATAGAGCAAGGCATGAACTAAAAGAGTGATTGACAGTGGCAAGGGAGGAGACAAATTGGAAACACAGATGCACAGGCCAGAATCAATCCACGAGGAAGTCTCTTCCAGTCCAAGATGTTTTTTTTTTCTTTTGAGAAAAGAGTTGCACAGTCGCCTAGGGTGGAGTGCAGTGGCGCAATCATTGCTCATTGCAACTTCCAACACCTGGGCTCAAGCAATCCTCCCACTTCAGCCTCCTGAGTGGTTGGGACTATAGGCACGAGCCACCACACCCAGCAAATCTGTAAATTTTTTTTGAAATGGAGTCTGTGTGGCCAGGGCTGGTCTTGAACTCCTGGACTCAAGCAATCCTCCTACCTCGCCTCCCAAAGTGCTGGAATTACAGGCGTGATTCACTGCACCCAGCCCCCATTTATTCTTATTCAATGCAATAAATGACTCTTTATTTGAGATTATATTCCTCTGGGGGCATCAAGACGTTTTTATGAGATAGTGGAAAGCAGAGATTATGACTACTTTCAAAACGTCCTTTCTGGGTAAATTTTAAAATAGCAATACTATGTTGCTCCTAAAATTCTATTTCTAAAACTTCGTTTGCAAGGAAAATCCAAAATTCTGGAAATCACTGTTTTAAACAACTTCTGGAGCTTATTAAGATGACTATAGGGTCCAATGTATATACATTATTCTGTATACTTATTTTCCTACTCATTTTATGCATACATATCCATGTAGTAATAATACTGACATGACTCTTATCTTAAATTACTATAGAGTAATTTAGAATCTAAAATGTATTATTGTTTAGTCATTCCCTTAATATCTTGTATTGAATCTATGCCTCTATTAGTATGAATAGCTTTATCCAAATTAATTTTCTTCCTCCTAGTCCCAGTTCCATAAATTGTTTCCTCAGGTATGATTCCCAGCAGGAAATGTATGGGTCACTGGCAATGCAGTTTGTTTTATGTTTCATTCTTATTATACATCACCAGATTGCAGCATTGCAGCAAAAAGACAATCTGCAGCACAGTCAACATTTCTTACTACCCCAACCAATAATGGGCTAGAATTAATTCTGATAATTTCACAAACAGTTGCCTTAATTTTCATTTCTTGAATTGCTAAAGAGAATATATCTGTTCCTCATGATGACAGTCTCTGAGATTCCCTATACTGATCTCTCCTAACCACTTCCTGAGAAGATGCTGGGTTCCGACCTTTGGTATCTCAATTCTTTATATTTTGGATAACCATTTAATCTTTCAAACTGTCCCATTATTTTCACCAATGCTGTAGCATTCCATTTACTATTTATTGCCTTTGGCTGGGCTATTTCTCTTTTATTCTCCTGATATTCTGGCACATCTGTCTTGTGTATGATGATTTTCTCCATTACTTCTGTGGTCATAAGTTTATCTTCCCTGAACAGCTGGGTTAAAAATGCTATTCCATTTTCTTCTAGCTATTTTATAGATAAATACAGTGGAACCTTCAAGCAGTGGCCTTTATGCTGAAATTAATAACTGCGGAACTTTCTAGTAGGAGTGCAATTTGCTCGGATAGTTCCCAAGATGGACCTGGCCACATCACAAAATGACAAATGCCACAGAAAGCTACCCATCTCCCATTAGGAGTGAAGGTGGACACAGTGTCTGAGGACTGAAACTTTAAACTCTTCCTAAATGGGCTCAGCACCCTAAAGTTCTCTCCATTACCAGTGTTGGCACTTGTATGTCAACAATCTTACTTAAATTTTGAGTAATAAAGGTTATCAGTATACAAAAAGCAAGAACCTGAAGAAATATACCATCACCCAAGAGTACAAAAACCAAACCAAATGGCTATAGAGGCATTTCACCTACTTTTTCTTTTTCCTTTTTGAGATGGGGTCTTGCTGTGTTGCCCAGGCTGGTTTTGAACTCCTGGCCTCAAGCAATCCTCTCACCTCAGCTTCCCAAGTAGATGGAATTATAGGTGCATGCCACCGGACCTGGTTTCACCTAATTATTTTTCATATCATGAAACTCTATGGGAACTTTCAATAGCTTTCCCCAATAGATAGACAACAGAGAAAAAACAATATAAAGGGGAAAAAAGCATACATTTACAAAATTTAGATCACTCTGTATAGATTTTTACATATCTACATCTGTAATACACAGGGGAAAAAAACCCAAAAGTAAATTCATTGAAAGATTAACAGTGGTTACCTGTAGGGAGGTAGAATTATAGGTAATTTTAATTTTCTTAATACATTTTTTGCAATATAAACTTGCATTATAGACTTTATATAAATTAAACTTCTTTGTACAACCACACACAAAAGCCATACTTCTATTCTTTTAAAAAATTGAATTCTTTTAAAATTAAGGTAGAAAAGATTCTGTTGAATCAAATGCTACTAATTAATCATGCTAAAGTACCTCAACCTTTATTTAGGTCATTGCTCAATACACACAAGTCCTAAGAAAAAATATTTTTTTTCTTTTTTTTTTTTTTTTTTTTTTTGAGACGGAGTCTCGCTCTGTCGCCCAGGCTGGAGTGCAGTGGCGCAATCTCGGCTCACTGCAAGCTCCGCCTTCCGGGTTCACGCCATTCTCCTGCCTCAGCCTTCCGAGTAGCTGGGACTACAGGCGCCCGCCACTGCGCCCGGCTAATTTTTTTCTATTTTTTAGTAGAGACGGGGTTTCACCATGGTCTCGATCTCCTGACCTTGTGATCCGCCCGCCTCGGCCTCCCAAAGTGCTGGGATTACAGGCGTGAGCCACCGCGCCCGGCCAATATTTTTTTTCATACATACAGGTTTATCATTTTTAACAGTAAGTCTACAGAGATTCATTATAATACAATAAAGAAAACTATCAAAATACCATAAACTTTCACCTGCCTTTGTTCAAGGTTACGGTCTCAAGTGACTCATAAACTAATCGGCAATGAGGTCTACATAAAAGTGAAACGATGGTATCATAGTTAAGTGTTGTATCATTTTATCACTGCCAGTTAATGTAACGGTATTTATCTAACAGGAACTTTTTATACAACTTAACTATTCTTTAAAATACTCTAGCAGGAAAAATAAAGTGGTGGGGGAATTAAAAATAGATAAAACAAGAACAACGGAAAATTTGAATTGTTAAAGTAAGGTGATGGATATAGGGTTGCATTACTATTCTATTTTGCATATATTTGAACATTTTCCATTATACGATGTTTTGAAAAGGTGCTAAGAAAAATAAAAAGAAATATAAACCTGTGCACAATCATTCATCATATCAACTAACGTAACACAATTAAGCTAATAGCCACTTTTACTTTTTCTTTTTTCTGAGACACAGCCTCGCTCTGCTGCCCAGGCTGGAGTGCAGTGGGGCTATCTCGGCTCACCGCAGCCTCTGGCTCCTCAGTTCAAGCGATTATCCTGCCTCAGCCTCTTAAGTAGCTGGGACTACAGTCACACGCCACCATGCCCAGTTAATTTTTGTGTTATTAGTAGAGATGGTGTTTCACCATGTTGGCCAGGCTGGTCGCGAACTCCTGACCTCAAGTGATCCACCCACCTTGGCCTCCCAAAGTGCTGGGATTACAGGCATGGGCCACCAGGCCCCGCCCACTTTTTTCCTTTTTAACACATCAGGATGACTATTTCAAAATAAGCGTTCTACCTGAAAATTCCAATAGAATTCTGACTCTGTACTTTTTCTTTATTAGGCAAGACAGAGTATATACATGTAAAATCTTTCAAGAAAAAAATGTGTCTTTCATATGCATCTACAGATTTGACTCTGATTTTAGACTGTCCTTCCTGGGCCAGATTCAGAACCAAGATAGTCAGCTAACAGAGCACTACACCTGGCTTGTGACATTTAAAAACTAAAGCAAGATGCATGCTAACTCAAGCAGCAGCAAGACCCTAGTCTAGGAGTCTCATTCTGTGTGACACGGAGGAAGAGCCCTGCCACTTTCTCTAAGAGGAAAGCAAACTGGTCTGTACCCAAGTAAGCTGCAGAGCAAAAAAACTCAGCACTCAAAGGAAGTAGGCAACCAAAACCAACATCATTTATTTGAGAGTCTGTTCTCTCTAACAGCTGCAGAGGATGACAGGGATACTAAGGATCTGGGATCCCCAAACTGACGACTTCCCAGTGCATCAAAAGCAAAATTTAAACGGAACCTCATGTCACTTTTATAAGGCACAATTAAAGAGTTTTCATTATCACAAATGATCCTCTTATTTCCCCAGAGAAGGTTGGCAAAGCCTGTTTTATTTCCATTTTACAGGTATAGAAACTGAGGTTTGGAGCTGTTAAAAGAGATGCTCTTAACCAACAGTCTTCTGACTTCAAGGACAGTATTCTTTTCACTACCCAACACTCCCCGTGGAGTGTGTCTATGAAGGGAAGGAGGAGAGGAGAGAAAAAGTGAAGCAGGGCAGAAAATGGGAGGAATCTGCATTATGTCCAACACTTCCTGAGTTTCAAAACACCCAGAGTTATTTTCTTACTATCCATGGAGTTTGGCCTAGTCTTTGCTACAAGCGTGGATTTAACTGTACTTCCATTTACATCCATATTTTTGTACGCTTGCTTTCTCTGCTTTCTGAATTCTGAGAGAAGTCTCCTAACAATTCGCTTAACCTAAGAAATAGGAACAATTAACTTTTTTTAAACCAGGAGGGACTGTCATAGCGGTGTAGCTGGGAGGTTTGCTGCTGGTCCTCTCTCCACACATCAAGACGGCGCAAAGGAAGAGGAGTCGGCAGAGCCCCTGTCACAGCCCCCACCTCCCCGGGGCTGCTTAACCTAGTAGGAGAGCAAAGCCTACCTCTCTGACTTCGTGAAGCTGGCCGGAATACTGACTCTTGGCTCTTCGGGCGGCTGCAGGCGACTTGTGATGCGTGATTGTGACAACACCGGGGGCCCCCACACTGAGGTGTCTCTGGCTACAGGGAGACGCAGAATTGGGTGTTCCATGTGGGAGCAAAGTGAGACTTCGGCTTCGGGAGCCTGGAGCACTCTAGAATAAGCAACAGGTGTCAAAACTCAACAACTGACCTGCAGAACACAACTAAGTGTTGGCTTCTATTCATTTTGGACCTCTTCATCTTTCCCCTACATCTCTTTAGGGAGATGAAGGTACGGGGGAGGTATAACAACCCTGCATGCCCAAATCCCACAGATACTCACTGAACTGCCCTTCCATTAGCTGCCCTTCTGGTTTCATCTCCAATTGTGCTTCCTGTCCTACATGATGGCCATGAACAGCTATTCAAAATCCTGCCCCCCGCCCTCCCCGACCCACACACCATAGACGCTCATGGAGCTCTGCCTCTCTACCTATTATTTCCTCTTCCCAGAATGCCCTTCCTCTGTGGCTGGTCAGCCTCTGCTGAACCTTGAAACTCAGCATGGTGTTCCCTGCTCTGTGAAGCATTTCCCTGGCTTTCTCAGCCTCTCTGCTGCTCTTATTCCACTGCATCAAGATTACTTGATTATCCAGTTACTTTCTTAAGAGATGCTTTCATGCTCATCTTTATATCCCCAAGGTCTGGCATATCACAATTGTTTAATTTATTAAGTGCTTAATAATGTCGGCTGTATGCATCAACTAAGCTGTCCACCAATTATTCCTCATTTGTTAGTCCAGTGTTTACATTTCATCCTGTGGTAATATATAATCCAAATTACAATCTAGTTGATGATAAAAATGGCATCTCAACTTAGTGGAGATGGATTTTTCAGTAAATGTTGGGATAACTGGGAAGCCATCTGAATAACAAAGCTGGATTCATCTCTCAGATCACAGACCTCGAATGGATCAAAGATTTAAGAAAAACAAACAGTACTAGAAGAAAACATGTAACCATGGGATAGGAAAGGCCTAACACTTTGAAATCCCAAAGCTATACCAGAAAAGCTTAGCCGAGTGCAATGGCTCACGCCTGTAATCCCAGCACTTTGGGAGGCCAAGGCGGGTGGATTATCTGAGGTCAGGAATTCGAGACCAGCCTGACCAACATGGAGAAACCCCATCTCTGCTAAAGATACAAAATTAGCCAGGTGTGGTGGCGCATGCCTGTAATCCCAGCTACTCAGGAGGCTGAGGCAGGAGAATCGCTTGAACCCGGGAGGCGGAGGTTACGCTGAGCCGAGATTGCGCCATTAGACTCCAGCCTGGGCAACAAGAGCAAAACTCCGTCTCAAAAAAAAGAAAAGAACAGAATAAAGAAAATCTTGATAAATTTGATTACCTAAAAACTGGAAACTTCTGCAAAGGAAACAAATAGACGAACAAAATACCCCACTACGACCACCAACAAAGCCAACCTATAAACTAGGAAAATTGTAGAGCTGGAAATAATTATTAAAATGGGCCAAGGTATGAAGACAGCTTACAAAAAAAATATAAAGGGCTTTTAACACATAGGAAAATATGTTCAACTGTACTCAGAAGATAAACGTAAATTCAAACTACTTTAGATAACCATCTTTCACCCATCAGATTGGCAAAAATTCAAACGTCTGAGTATGCAATCTGTCAACAGGGCCACAGAGAAACAAGTCTGTGGAAGTCAAAAAGATGGCAAAACCCTGAGAACAGCAATCGGCAGACCCGTCACAGATACAAACGTGTCTCCCCTGGTTCCAGCAATCCCGTCTGGGAATATATCCTCCAGACATACCTGCAGCCAGGTGAAATGCTCTATGTCCCTGTTGGTCACCGCAGCACTATGTTTGATGGCAAAGGACAGAAGACAATCCAAATGTCCGTCAGCATGGGACGGGTTAAATTATGGTACATCTATGTAATGGAATACTACCAAGCTATAAGACAACGATGAGAGAGGTCTCTACGATTTCATCTGGAAATAGCTCTCAGCTAGATAGTTAAGTGAAGGAAGGCACATAATTGTTCTATAGTATGCAAAGTATAGCTTTTTCAACATGAGGTAAATAAGTATTTTTGTTATTTAACTTGTTGAAAATTATTTGCTTAAAACAAACATACTGCGGAAGGATACATATAAAACTATCAAGGGGCTGCTTATTTGTGCAGAAGCAGGAAATGAGAGGATAGAAACAGAGAAGAGGGGAGATTTTTTCACTGTATACTTTTTATATTCTTCCACTTTGAACTATATGAATGTATTCCCTATTGAAAACATTTTAATTCTGCATAAACTTTACATTCTAATTGTTCCTATACTTCATCTCAGCTTGAGAAAAGGCAAGTTAGATAATGTGGAAATCATCTAGCTCCTACAGTTCAAAGATTTACTGAATACCTACTATGTGCCTAGGCAAATATATACTGTGTAGTGTCAGGAAGAAAACAAAATGTATGAGACAGTTTTTCACCATAGATACCTATAATATTGCTGGGGATGTAAGATGCAAATATACAGAGACAGACGGAGGGAAACATACACAGATGCACACTTACAAGATGGTGCATAACAGGGGCTAATTTGGCAATACAGCCAGAAAATGTCAAAGAAGTGAGCTCATCTCATCACGGCAGGATGTTCCAAGGGTGATGGGCCTGAAGCCTGAGTAGGCTTTGGGAAGCTAGACAGGCAAGGCAGCACACGACATAGCAACCCAACAGTCTGGATACCAAGGTAGTCTTAGCCTCAGGCCTCAGCTAACAGGCACAGCTCTAAAACTGTTAAACATTAATGATTCATCATTCTACAGATCACCAGGGGATGGAGGAGTGGGGTGAGAGCCAGGGTAGAAATCAGAGTTTTGGTTCACCTTGAAATACCGCAGATTGTAAAGATTCTCTAGATTTGACTGGGACATAACGAATTAGAATGCAGATAAAGATAGGAAATAACCATATGTTAGGTAATTGGAGAAATGTGTGGTCTAAGAACTATATATATCTTGATCAAAATGAGCTATAATAATCACCTACTTTCAGCTTCAATCTTTTCACTTGGAGAGTAGAGCGAGAAAGAGGATATTTCTTTAATAACAGTAAATTTGCCTAAGTATTAACAGTCCACTGAAATATATTTTGACTGTCAGCAAGGCTTATTCCAGTCCAGGAAAAGGCAGATTTTTTTCCCTGGGCTTTGAAACCAGACACATAAGTTTCATTCTCCATACACACACCTCTATCCCCACTCCTCCCCTACCAAACCCCTGTTCTTGCCATGTGATCTGGGGTGAGTTATTTAAGCTTTCTCATTAAGCATCAATTTCCTAATCTTTAAAAAGAGAAATAATAACACTGACCCTTAAACATCATCATGAAATTTAAATTAGATTATGCATATAAAATGCTTAGCACAGTGCCTGACATGCAGAAGCTGCATGGACAACGTTTGTTTCTTAATATCACTGAAAACTCGAACAATGAAAACCTTATGGATTTTTAAAATGTTAAGAAGTTGCTTAGCACAAAATCCTAAGCAGTTGCTGGGTCGCTGACCTTCTTATTTTCTACAGGGTCAGACTGGTCAGAAGCCCAAAATGTAATTAAATACGTACAGGGTCAGCCATTAAATATCAAGATTGTAGGGAAAACACACACACACACACACACACACACACACACACACACACTTCTAATTCTGAGTAGAAATGAGGACTCATCAGAAATCAGAGAGGAAGACAGCTCTGGCAATAGACACCTTTGCCTGTAGCAGTATCACCATGAATGGCAATAAATCAAGAAATTCACCCAAGAGCAAAATTATTCCATGGTGAATGTCCAACCCCACGATCATTATTTAATGGTTGGCTGTCATCTGAATTTACAAGCAGTAAATCTGAGTCAAAAAGCCTTTAATTTTCCATTAACTGGGGATTCTCACAGTGTAATTCACATCCATGCCTCCTTTCAGGATAAACATGAACAAAAAAGTCTTACCCTTGGTAAATCCCACAGGTAATCAGTCATTACAAGCACAAGTGAGAAAGGCAGCAAATTGCAGCCACTATAAACGAGCAGGCTGTGTTTCCAAAAGGCAGCCTGTCTACAATCTCCAGGTTTTGTTTCAAAATTATGCTTGCATGTCATAAAAGCCTATCTTCGCTATTAATTTAAAATATTAACAGAGTCTGAGAAACAGCATGGTAGGTTTTTGTTCCAAATATTTACTTCAATGGGGGTGACTAGAAACACCAAGTGTGCCATCTGTGGGAAATTCTGAGTCAAGAGCAAGTTTCTTCATCCTTTGCTTAGGAGAATTATCCCTCACACAGCCATCGGTGCTCATCTGGCTACTCCTTATGTCCCCTCGCTTCGTAAGCACCTGGCTGATGATGGGGTGACAGCAAAAAAGAGTGTGGGAGCGGGTGAGACCAAGTGCTAATGCTCACAGCCTGTCCAGATATCTGCACACAATCACACAGGCCTCTTGGTCTTTCCCTACATTCTCATTGAATGATTCCTAAATTTCCCAAGTTTGCAAAGAGAAGACAAAACACACATACTCTTTGGATCTACTGGCCAAAACCGCCATTTAGGAAAGGAGAGCATTCTTGGAAAAGGAGAGGAATCATTAGAAAGAATCTGTCCAACCAAGGTAAACGGGCAACAAGCCTGGGAGATAGAAGCCAAGTGCGAGAAAGCTTAGAGCAAGAAGCACTGGACCATCTACAGGCCCAGTACCAGTCCAGTACTATGGACAATGTAGGGAGTGGTTAAGAGCACACTTTCTCAAGTCAACTGCCTGAGTTCAAATCTGGGCTCCACCACTTGCAAACTGTGTAACCTAGAAAATGTAGGTATCTTCCTTTCTAAAGTTTAATATTACCTACTTCATTGGGTTGTTGGAGAAAGATATAAGAAGAGACACATAAAGCATATGTCATAAAGTATGCAATAAATACCATCATTAATAAATAAAATGAGGTCTTCAAGCCTCATTATAGGTGAATGGTTGTTAAGTGGTCCCTGAATGAACTATATGGCCATTTTGGTCCTTGGTATCTTAAGTAGTCACAGTCTTAAGGCTTCCTTCACTTTAAAAGATAGTCATCCTAATTACTAAAAAACCACTT